CAGCCGAACTCTGGAAGCCTGCCTGAATACCCGTATTTTCCGGCGTATAAGACGACCGGGCGTATAAGACGACCCCCGACTTTTGAGAAGATTTTCAGGGTTTAGAAAGTCGTCTTATACGCCGGAAAATACGGTACCTCACAGGTTTGTTTTGTGGAGGGAGTGAATTGGAGAAGAAAGTATACAGTGTTTAGCTCCCAGAGAAAAGATGGGATATGAGGAGTGAAATAAATAGCAAATAGTTACCAAGTTCCACAAATGAAATTTCTTTTTATTGATTTTTAAGGAAGAGTTCACATGGATGTTGGTTTGACATTTATTTCTCTTAAAACAGTATGTAAATAATTTCTAAATGTTATTTTGGCAGTGATATTGCTTTTGTGCACCAAATATGCTGTTTTTTTGTCTCAAAAGCTATTGATTCACTGAATATTTTGCATTAAGATGCAAACAGAACATGTTGTAAGGTCATATCTGACTTCTTCTATGAGTGTTTGGTTTTGAAAAGTTCTTAGTATAATTTTATTAACAAGTGAACAATTTCACTAGCCTTTTTGAAGCAAGAGAAAAATTAGCTTGTTGAATGAGACAATGGAATAATGTATAAGCTTGATATGTCTAGGCTCCCTAAAATTTCTATTAATCTGATCACTTAGATTGATTAATTTGTCTTTATTTACCAAGAAGCAAATTCTGAGAAAGATTCAGCAGGGAGTCAAGTTTGTTTTACTCTTGAAGCCAAAATTCCTCTAGTAGAGAGTTAAAACTTAATTAAAGTAACCTTAGTAGACGAGAAGTATATTTTTCTTTTTGTAATTTTAATAGGATTAATGTATAATCAGCTTAAGTATTTTTAATGCCTTTTAAAGGTTCTGTAATAAAGAGTTGATAAACTTCAGACTTTCTGCTAAAGAGATGGTACTTTTAGGTGTTATTATCTAAAATTAAAGAAGACAATTTTTGAAAAGGGATATCATTGGTCTTCATATAAGTGGCATTTTAGCCATTGAGAAATATCTGGCAATTTGAAATTGTTGACTTCATGCCTTGTCATTGAGTAACCAAATGCAAATTTTTGGCTGCTTTTTAAAACAAATTTCTGAACTAACCAAATTTTTAATCAATTCAATCAGTACATACTTTTATGTTTGGAATAGTGAGATTCCACTGACTTCACTGCTAAAGAAGACTACTTCTAATTCATAATATTCCTGAAATAATAACTACAATACCCAACCACTTTTTAGTTAATAAGGGATTAACTAAATCTGTTATTAACGGTGAATGGCAGGGATGTGGTATAAGATCAAACGTCTAAAAAGCCAGATATGTTTCTGTTAGCATATTGTTTACAACATTGGCATTCTATATGAGCATAGCCATTCTGAACTGAAGGACAATAGTTATAATTCCAGTCTCTTTTGAGTGGGTTTTCTACTGTTGCTGTGATGATTTCCAGTTGCTGACATTTAAATAGTTGCTTGCCCATAATAGTACCAAGAAGTACACTTTGGGTGGCAAAAATTGGATTATTTGGGGTTCAGGAATAATAATACTCTTGAGAGCGAGGGCAAAATTTAGTAGTATTATGTCTAAAATAGGTTTTGATGTTAAATGCTGCTTAACTTCCAACCACACTATGGTTACATTTTATGAAATCCAGATGAGTTGGAAGCAGTGTGTGCATGCAGTTTACTTTAGAAATATATCACTTGGAGGAGGAGGGAGGGAGGGGAGGAGCCAGCATTTGATTTCTTCAAATCTGAGAGCCAGCACTTTACTTCCTGTTTAATTTGGATTTTCTATATCTTGTACAATAGAGTGATTGATTTTTTTCTAGGCAGTATCTTCATTTTAATAAAGCTTTTAAATGAAAATCAGAGTAGCAAAGCTGTGTATGAGTTGGACTATTATATCGATTGTAGCTAGTGTTGATAGATGTTACGCAGCATCAGTTCCTGGCCAAATTATCCTGCTGGGTGTTTTGGAAAATCTAGCAGACTGAAAGTTGTGCTTAAAGTCTAAGAAACAAGTGAGGAGTTATATTTTCTGGAATTACAATGTGGTTTTCAGTTGTTGGAAGAACAGAATCCTTGGTAAGTCTCTACAGCGAAAGTTTCCCTATAAACTTATAATTTTAATATTCTTCCTAATCTTCCATTTAATCTAAAATTGTTTGGCAAATGAATTTTTGGAGCACTGCTTTTATAACATTACTATCTATTTGAATTTATGGCATTAAAAAAAACAAATGAATTATACATAAAGCTTGTTCCTATTATCTGATATTAAATGAAAAGTACAGTGGCAGGTTTTAATTTCTGTAACTTGTAAATAACAATTGTTATATTAAGTGTTGAAAAATAAGGTCTAATTTAAGCACTTTGTGTTGGTTGATAAAATGGATGTACTATTTAAATCCTGGACATACAAAAATGAACAATTTGACATTAATAAATAAAAGAATTAACAGGCTTTGCAAATGTTCCCATTTCATAAATTTTCATGTAAGTAAAATAAATGTTGGTATCATTTGATTCTGATCTTAGAAAGCAAAAAATATTTTAAAATGTCTTAACAGGTTATTTAATAGATTGACAACAACAATTTTAGCTGATCACATTTGCTGTTCTTTGTTTTTAGTTGCTTTTACAAAGAAAGTAAAGAAAAAAAATCAGTTTACAATGATTAAAATTGTAAAGAAAAGTGAAACAAATTTAGTGGGAAACTTGAAAATATGTTACATTAAATAATCTTAAAAAGCCAAACAAAAAGGCTTAACTGTATCTATGCTGTGTGTGTGTGTGTGTGTGTGTGTGTGTGTGTGTGTGTGTGTGTGTGTGTGTACAGATGTCTGTCTCCATGTGTATTTTTATGTATGGAACAGTATAACGAGAAAACAGCATAATGTTAGGCATGCTTATTTGTAGGTATGTGTATGTACACCCACAATAACTGTGTTTAACATTCATAGCTGAAGCCCTATTTTTATTCCAATTCATAAAAAGATACAATTGCATTTGACTTCTAAACTTTCCTCTTTTTAAAGTGCTTGATCACATTTGATTTTTTTTATCCTGAAATTTGTCTTACTTTTCCTTTCAAGTTGTCATACTTAAAATTTTCAGTTAAATTACATTCTGTTTAGTAGCCTCTCTTGAAAAATATACAGAAGCTGGAAATAATAGTATTTGATCACTTGTTTTTTTTATCTCAGAAATAAGTGACCATTGTACACACACGATAAATTCATTAGATGGAAATAAGGCTTTCCTCAAAATTTGTAACAAAACCACTCACCTGAGGGAGGGAAGCAGGCAGGCCATTTTCACTGGAATTGCTTCCTCTGTACTTCCTTGCATCATCTAAAAACTACTTCTACTGTACAGATCATTAGGAAGAAATAGGAAATTAATAACATGGCTTCTAATAGAAGCTTTACTATTTATAAGAAGCTATTATGAATCTTTATATTTTATTACATTTTGGGATACATCAGGACTTTATAAAAGTAGTGGAGTTATATCTTTTTCTGGTTTAATTCTGGAGGGAGTAATTTTTAAAAACCCTTTGAACTAGTTTTTTTGTCACTTGAATTGCTGAGTGTTCATGAAAATATTTTTTTTTCATTGTAATATTAAAACATTCCTCTGACCATTAGCCTACAAGCTACTTGGAATTCGTCTCCAATGTTACACATCAGATTTCTACTTATGAGTATTAACCTTGTTCTACTCTGCCCACTTCACTCCAACTGAGTTAAATCAAAGTTTACTCTGCAGTATTTTCAGTGAAAGGGATGATACATGCTAAGCTTGTGCAATATTGTACTTTGGATTTGATAACAAAAATTATTTTGGAGCATGTAGAGATGCTCATGTACTTGCTTTATCAGCAACTCCTTAAAAGTACTGTGAGCTTTTACCAGGATTGTTGTGATGCACCACTCTTCAATCCAAAATGCTACCTGTTTCTAATAAAGTACTTCAGAGATATTCTTCATTGATCTGCAAAGGATGCTGCAGGGACACTTGTCCCTTTATATGTTTATTAAACACTAAGTTTTGTGTAATTCTGCACTATCATATTTTTATTGTATTCACCTGAAACGCCAAAATGTTCAAGGAAAGTGGAATCATAGTCTTATTGAATATTATTTTATTATTATTAATCATCATGGAAATTGATATATTCCAGTGGTAACAGCTGTTAGGAAACCTTTAACGAATAGATTAACCTAGTGGCTATGAGTAATTTCTCTGTGAAAATGGTCAACTTACTCATTTATTTATTTATTTATTTATTCATTCATTTATTCAATTTTTATCCCGCCCTTCTCCTTACGGACTCAGGGCGGCTGACAGCCTTATAAAACAAATACAACAATAAATACCCAATACCCAATTTAAAACCTAATTAAAAAGAAATATTTACTATGGCCAATATAATTAAAATTTCTCTTAAAACCCCACTAAAAATTCCCCTAGGCCAATCCCGCTTGTTGGAAGAGCCATGTCTTCAGGGCGCGGCGGAAGGAGGGGAGATCCGGGATCACCCGGATCTCTGGGGGTAGTTCGTTCCAGAGGGTGGGAGCTCCCACCGAGAAGGCCCTCCCCCTGGAGGTCGCCAGCCGGCACTGTCTGGCTGACGGCACCCTGAGGAGACCCACTCTGTGGGAGCGTACCGGCCGATGGGAGGTAATCTGCGGCAGAAGGCGGTCTCGGAGATATCCAGGTCCGATCATCAGAGTTGATTCAGGTGATTTACCTGCTGCCTTTCTTCTCCACCATTGTATACCAAAGTTGTATACTTGGTGGAAAAAAACAACCACCACAGACATCACATATCATTTTTAGACTAAATATATTCAGAACTTTTTACTTAGGAACATTGTTGGAAACATGTACACAAGTTGTCAGAGAGCTCCATAGACTATCCAGGAATTAAGTGTTTGCATTGACCTCTACTGCAGCAAGGAGCAACTCTATTGCAAATGCTACTCCTTGCACCCCAGCTTCTGTAAAGGAAATTTCTCATACTTGATGTCCGTAACCAAAAGAATAAAAAATACAATAGAGTTAGTTGCCAAAGGTCTGAATTAAGAGCCACATGACCGGAAATAACATCAGACAATGCTGGCTCCCTCAGCTAAGAAATGGAGATGAGTACCGCCCCCTAGAATTGGACAGGACTGGATAGGGAAAACCTTTACCTTTACTTTTAGGAATATTTACCTCCAACTTTATAGACCGACTTCCAAATATATAATTTCTTCCATTCCAGTCTGAAATACAAAAACAGCAATAGTGGTTATCCTTGTTAGAATTCTTAAAAGTCTGTAAAATGCTTTATACATAGTTGAGATGGCTTTATTACTGATACTTAGATGATGCATAAGATGATGGTAAATTCCATAGAAGTGTATAAAATATTGCTAGAAGGAATGTATCTCTCCAGAGGTTGTTAGCTTGAATTCCCACCATCACTCATTGTTAAGCAATGCTACTTATTTTATTTTGTTGCTAAAAATGTGTTGTCTTATGTAGTGTATTATAATAAATACATTATATTCTATAATATATTTATAGTTAAATATATTTCTTAAGGTTGCTACAACTCTTTAAAAACTTATATTGTGATCCATTGTATGGATATTTGGAAATAAGAGAATCTAAATCAGTTAGATCACTCTCTTATAAAATGTCTTTATGATCCTAGCCTTACATCATTTTTTAAAAAATTGCTTTATATCTTTTTAGGGTGCCGGTCAAGATAAACTTGGCATCTATGTCAAATCTGTGGTAAAAGGTGGCGCTGCAGATGTGGTTAGTAATACTTGTAATTATTATAAAAAATGTTCACTTAGTGTTTTAATTTCAAATATTTCTAAACTGCATGAAATCTCTTTTCATGCCATGTTAAATAATATAATTCTGTTTTGTCAAATATGTAACCAGGATGGTCGATTGGCTGCAGGGGATCAGCTGCTTAGTGTGGATGGGCGTAGTTTGGTTGGACTTTCTCAAGAAAGGTATATTATACTCTGGAAATTGTAAACATAGTAACAGATATTGGTGCATTATGTAAAACAGGTGTGACTTGTTTGTTTTCCATATTTTTTCTTCTTATCTATATATGGTGGGGTCTAGGATAACTTGTTGCAGCCATTTCGCTGTGGCCATCTCACTGCAGCCAACTCACTATGGACAATTCCATGTGAGATAACTCAGTGCCATAAATGTTATCCACCGCTGTTTCTTTGACATTGTTTCCACCCCATGTGGAGTTGCCTGCAGTGAGTTGTTCCACAGCGAGTTGGCCATGGCGAGATGGCTGTGGCAGATTGTCCTATTCCATATGTGGTGGTGCTTAAAAGTTTGGGAACCCTTCTGATTTTTCAAAATTATACTTGTTCATTTATTTATTGTGGAAAATGGTCCAAAACTACAATATTTCTGCCTGACAAACGTATGTGGGCAGCAACTTATTGCTTCCAGTGTCTTTTAATCAGTTCTTTGCATTGGTTTGGAGGAATTTTAACCCATTTCTCCTCACAGAACCACTTCGGCTCTAGGATGTTGTAGGCTTCCTTGCTTCAGGTCCTTCCTGATGAGGTTACTTTCTTACTTGGATTTTGCCATTCCCAAACATTAACTTTTTTTTGCTTTAACCATTCCTTGATTGTTTGACTTTTGTGTTTTGGATCATTGCCTTGCTGGATGGCCCACTTTCTTTTGAGCTTTGGATCACAGACAGATTCCCTGACGTTTTTTAAAAAAGATTTTTATCCCGCCTTTTATTTCATATACAACTCAAGGCAGTGAACATACTAATACTCCTTGCTCCTCCTATTTTTCCTCTAACAACTCTAGGTTGTAGGTTGGGCTGAGAGAGAGAGTGAAGGCCCAAAGTTACCCAGCCAGTTTTTCATGACTAAGTTGGGACAAGATCTACTAAATCCCCTGTTTTCTAGGTCAGTACCTTAACCATTATACCAAAATTCCAGTAGAATTTGCTGGTACAATTCAGAATTTATATTCCATCAATGATGGCAAGCCATCCCTGTCCAGAGAGAGCAAAGAGGCCTAAACTGCTTTGATACTGCCACTGTGTTTTACACATGGAGTAAAAATTCTTATGCTGGAATACAATTTTTATCTTTTGCCAAACATAATGCTATTTATTTAAGCCAAAAAGTTCTATTTTGGTCTCATTCATCCATAGAGTGTGCTTCCAATAGCTTGGCTTTTCCACAAGGTCTTTCACAAACTGTAATTAACAGTGTTCTTTTTGGAGAATAGTGGCACTCTTGCAACACTGCCATGCACACTATTGTTGTTCACTATTCTCCTGATGGTGACTCCTGAGAACACAAGGTCATAGGTCATATTTATGCAGAAATATTGAAACAAAAAGGGTTCACAAACTTTTAAGCACAGTTGTAGCTTGCAGTATTTCTGGAAGTTATAAAAGCTATGAAGCATAAGCATAACTGCTTCTCATATCTGTCAATCTGTTGAGCAGGAGATAATTGAATAATATACCTGAGCATTGTATTGCAGGCTGTAGTACCACTATTAGAATTTTAAGGAGAATTAGACAGCTTGTGACTCACTGGATCATTGTTTCATTTTCTTACCTAAACAGAGAAACAGAATGACCACAGGTGGGCAAAAATACAGTAGCAGTGGGAGTGACTTCTGACTCCCTGTCGACTTCCCCATTGATGTTCCTTGTGGGAAGCTGGCAGTGAGCATCAGAAATTTCCTTTCCCTTCCCTTCCCTTCTCCCTATGAAACAGCATTTAGCCCAATTCAAGGTTACAAAACAGATGCAAACATTTAGTAGTATATAAATAACTTCTTGCCTGGTATGAAAAAGATGTGGCATAATTCACTTGTTTTTACTATGATATTCCTTATAGAATCCAAAGGGCTGCGCTAGAACTCAAATGTAGTGCCGAAAAATCAGTTCTTGTTCCTAATATGCAAATATTCATTGCTTATAAATGAGGCTTGGGCACATCATTATGGGAAATAGACAAAAAAATGAACATTTGATTTCAGGTGGTTTGTACCCAAATCAAATATTAGAATATTTTATCTATATATGGAATGAAACGGGGCTTTTCTGTTTCAATTATAGACTAAACTGCAGTTGTTTCAGGCAGAATTTTTGGGGCAGAAGGGAAGAGAACAGAAAAATGTCAAAGGCATCAGTAACTATAGCTGAAGGCAGGCAGGAAAGAGAGGGAGACAGGAAAGAGAAGGAAGATCAAGGGATGCACAGGCTAGTAAAATATTCTAAGCAGCAGAAGTGAGAGAAAATATGCTTTGTACTTACTTACTTACCCCAGGATCCTTGAAAGTTTGCTTTGGCCAAAACCCAAAGCGACAGGAACATTCTGATTTTTATTTCTGCTGAACTTAGCCAGATAGAAATTATTTGCTAGAATGACAAGGATTTGATGTGTTTCTTTGTGTTTCTTTTCTATTTTGTAAACAGTTCTATTGGATTCCCATAACTTACTTATATTCATTGTGTATATTTTTCTACTGACTAAATGCTTCAAATTTGCCCTGTCCTAGTTTGTTACTACTGATTCTTGCAAACTCACCATTATATTTCCAAACTTACTCAGAGCTGCAGAACTGATGACAAGAACAGGAACAGTTGTCACGCTAGAAGTGGCAAAACAAGGAGCTATTTACCATGGTTTAGCAACACTATTAAATCAACCATCTCCAATGATGCAAAGAGGTAAACAACTAAAATACATTTGTCCACATATGAAATATATATAGAAATTCAATTTTAAAAATTATTATAAAAATAAGGCATATTCAAGTACTTAGTATGTATTCTGACATGCTCATTGCTCTCTCTCCCTCAAGAAAGCTAAATTAAAGACCTAGTTAAGTTCTGCTCTAAGCAGTAACATGGAATTGGCTTGCCACCTCCTTTTTCTAGAATGTTTTTTCAACGTTCCAGACTAGCCTACTATTGTAGAATTGTCCATTGGTTTTCATTTGGTACCAACAAGTTTTAATCCTGGAAAACTTTTTCAAGATTAACCAGCTACTACCTGCTTTTGAGCATCCATGGAAGGACTTACAAGTATTACTTTGCAAGGATTGTTACTCTTAAAATCTTACTGAATTCAATGGGATGCTTAGTCTTAAGCATATTCCATATAGGATTATCCTCTTGACTGAGTGAGATTTATATCCTCAGAATATTAGCAACACTCCTTTCTCAATTTGTTGTTCTTAAAAGGGAATTATAATGAATTGATGAAAAAGCAGAGATTTGTGTTGTAAAGCATTTTTTTGTTAAAGAGGTTTTATTGAAAGATGTTTGTTTTTTCTAATATTTTTGGGCATGTGTAAAATTAGTCTAAAGACTAATCTGTGTAGTCTGCTACTGTTGGTGTGAATTTTAGCTGTTCTTCGAACTCTCAAACATTGCTTTTTTTTCCCAACTATAGAACACGATTATAATTTTAATAGGGAAACTGGAAATATAACCTGGAACATTAAGTAGGTAGTATAGACTGGAGAGAGTCAAGAGCATTCCATCTGAGTTCTACAGGACCAGGAAATGCAAGCAAATTTGCAACTAATTTATTTTGTCTGCCTGATTTTGTTTATATGAATTTTGGTTTTTGAAACTGCACATATGAAGAAGGTTAAGGGAGAATTTAGAAATGGGGTCTCTTTTACCTTCGTTGCAGACCAGAAGAATTAGTATGTTTCTCTCTCTCTCTCTCTTTCACACATACACTCATTGTTCAGTTTCAGATCGCCGTGGCTCAGGTAAACCCCGACCAAAGAGTGAAGGTTTTGAGCTATATAACAATACTGCTCAGAATGGATCACCTGAAAGCCCTCAGCTGCCTTGGACAGAATATAATGAACCAAAGAAGTTACCAGCGGATGATAGACTGCTGAAGAATCGAGCTGATCACCGATCTAGTCCCAATGTAGCAAGTAAGCAAGTACCAGCTTTTACAACTGTTTCTGTGAATTAACACCTGAAATAAGCCTAAAGGGATTGGAATTTATATAACGAACTGTCACATAAATTAAATTGGTAAAAATGAAATTTATTTTCTTAACTAATTATTTAAATAATCTTATTAATTATTTAAATAAACTATATGGCTGCACCACTCAAACACTGACCCTGTGTAGTGTATCACACAGGAACTCAAAGCTCAAGGAAAAAAGCCACATTTTATTGTCCTTCTGAAGACTGATACGGTCAAGGCCAGTCACATCTTATGGGGGAGACTGTTGCAAAGGGCTGGCACCACAGCGGAGAAGAAAAAGCTAATAAATCCTGTGGTCCCTGTTTGAATGTTTATTTTGCATTTGTTAACATTTAAATCTGCTTGCTTTCAATAGATCAGCCTCCAAGTCCTGGGACCAAAAAGGCTTATACTGGAGGAACTACAAATAAGATAACTTCAGTGTCTACTGGAAATCTTTGCACAGAGGTTAGAAGTAGTGAAAAAATCTTTACCTGTGAATATTTATAAAATGTTTGATACTATTTTTGACATCTGTAAATGATCTTTCCATATTTACGCAGGAACAGATACTACCAGCTAGACCGGAAGCATATCCAATTCCAACACAAACTTATACCAGAGAGTATTTCACATTTCCAGCCTCCAGGTCTCAGGATCGAATGGGCCCTGTTCAAAATCAATGGGCAAGTTATGAAGAAAAGCCCCAAATTCCTGCTGAAAGTAATCACTATATCAATAATGCAAATCAGGTTAGAAATAATTTGCTTCATCAAATTAGTAGTTTGGGGATTGTGGGTAGAACAAGAATTATGATGACTAGAACTGGTCTAGTATTAAGTTGTTGTAAAAATACCTTCATATTTTATTATATTTTGCTATTCCTAAAATACAGTATTTGGCCAGCTTCTAAACTAGAATCTTGTAGTCATTTATATTGTGTTTGAAATCTGCTGCTTGCTTGTATTGTGTTTGAAAAGCTATCAATTTATATTTGGATTTGAGGGCTGAAATGCAGAAGAAGTCTGATAATATTTTTTTTTTAAATCACATTTAGAGCTTTTGAGAAAGAACTGCTGTATAGGAATAAGAGTATGTTAATTTTTACAAACTATAGAATGCCTGGTTTATCTTTGTTTTCTTTTAAGATATTACTAATCTGTCAATGCATTTTAATCATGTGCATTGTATTCGGTGCTTTTGGACTAATAGAGCATAAGAAATGCATTCATTGAAAACAAAGCGTTTTAGGTCATAATTAAGGTCTTTGAAAGAGAAGTACAGAAATGTTGCTTTTGTTCATAGCTGCCAGCTCTTCTATCTGGTCTGTTTTGTATTTAAAATAAATTGTAGAAGTACACAACAAGGCTTGTGAAGCTTATAAGCAGATTAGAAATTTTCAGGTATTTGGTATGTTATTATTATATTTCTGTACAGCAGTTGTATTTTATATTTAATACTGCAGATATTCACAGCAGCACAGTATCTTTTGACAATTGAGCATTTAATAAGGAATTTATAGTTTGTTTAAATTTCAGTATTGCGGAAGTAAAAAAAAAGGAGATGAATAATAAGGTGGGATGAACAAATAGTTCCTTTTTCTTTGCAATATTGGTATATGTGTCTATGTGTGTGTGCAATTATACTAAAAGTTGCCAAAGCAGTGGGAGGAATGATGTTAGTTATTCATATAAGCTCTTAGACCTAAATATTTCTGGGAGCACAAGTTATAAAAGTGATAATAGTTTGGCATTATTCTGAGGAAAAGTATAAAGCGTGGATTCTGCTGATGTTGAACATATGCCAAGATAGTTTCAAAATCTTGTCTCAGGTTGTTTTAGAGTTGGTTTAACTTGATTGGAATGAAAAGCTGAATGTAGGGTTTCAAATTTATAATGTATACCACTTGTTAAAATGCTGATTTTTAAGAACAAGTGAGTAATCATTGTGCAAAGGTAATAAACTGGCATTTAGTTCTTGATGTATGGCATATTAATATGTGGAAACTAATGTTATATTCTTTATTTTTTTTTAAGCGCGTAACACGTTCTCAAGAGGAACTACGGGATGATAACATTTATCAGGCAGACAGGAATCAATTAGAAGTTGCCATGCAAAAAGATATGGAATATATGGAGAGAAAATCAGATAGCGATCCATGGATGAATTCTTCTGTGGATTCTAGCACATCAAGCCAGGAGCATCTAAACAATTCCTCTAAATCTATCCCCTCTGGATCTTCTTTAACCAAAAGTGGACCTGGACGCTGGAAAACACCTATAGTTACTCAATCAATGTTGCTGGCAGTTTCTCAGTCCACAAGGACAGACCTTCCTCCCCCTCCCCCTCCCCCACCCATGCACTATGCAGCTGAGTTTGATGGACTGCAAATGGATTTACCTCTCCCACCACCACCTCCACCTGCAAATCAGTTGGGGTCACAGTCCTCTCAGGTTGCTGCTGCTGCAGAGCACAAAAAGAGAGAAGAACACCAGAGATGGTATGAAAAGGAAAAAGCACGCTTGGAGGAAGAACGAGATAGGAAACGTCGAGAGCAGGAAAGAAAACTGGGGCAAATACGTGCTCAGCCACTAATGCCGGCTCAGTCGTTGCTTCCTCCTCTTCAGCAGGGGAAACCAGAGAAACCTTCCACACTGCAGAGGTCTCATGAGACTGTCATTAGAGAATTGCAGCCCCAACAACAGCCCCGAACCATTGAACGGAGAGATCTCCAGTATATCACCATAAGTAAAGAAGAGCTGTCCTCTAGTGATAGTCTGTCACCTGATCCCTGGAAAAGAGATGCTAAGGAGAAACTGGAGAAACAGCAGCAGATGCATATTGTGGATATGCTAAGCAAAGAGATTCAAGACCTTCAAAATAAGCCAGATCGAACTGGTGAAGAAAATGACCGCCTGCGCAAGCTCATGCTGGAGTGGCAGTTCCAGAAACGACTTCAAGAGTCGAAGCAAAAAGATGAGGATGAAGATGAGGAAGAAGATGATGACATTGATACTATGCTGATTATGCAACGACTAGAAGCTGAGAGAAGAGCAAGGGTAAAAATGAGAGAATCCGTTTAAAAAATGCATTTCATGGGCTAAAATTCCTGCATACTGCTACCATAAATAAAAATTAGTTATCACTACAGGATAAAGGAGGACTGGACTCTCATAATGTCCCTGTCTTTCATTGCATATAATGAAGTTGACCATTCTGATTTGTCAGTTAAGTGGTGTGTTGCAAGCTATTACCTAGAAATTGTTAGGGGGAGGTAACCTCCTTTCAAGTTCCTTTTTTAAAAAAACAAAATCCCTATTCTTAATATTTTATCAGTTTAATTTGTATGCTGCATATGTAATATTCCAGAACAGTGTAGCTTTTTTAATCTTGTCCATTGAAAGCTGTTTTAAATTTATGTTTCATCTTTTAATAGTCCATAGCATAACAGGATTTGGAATTTTCATTCCAAAGAGTAATGATTTTGTCTTTACCAGGAAAAATAGCTCTTTAATAAATCCACTTCTAAGAATACAGCTTCAAAAACAATCCTATACATTCGTCATCTTCAGGCTGGTGTCTTCAGCTTCGTGCTCTTAGGAGCACGAAGCTGAAGACACCAGCCTGAAGATGACGAATGTGACTTCGTCGAAACGTCGCCAAGGTACTTTTAATTCTACGCGGGAGAAAACCCGAATAACTAAAGACCTATTTGTGCTAGGGGGCTGTATAAATAACACTGATGAATGATCAAATTATAGCAGCAACTTGATTTCAAGTGGTTTTTTTTTTACAGCAATTGCTTTCTACGTTATGCTTCTTTTCCTGCTTTTAAAAGCTTTACTTTCCATTGCTGCTTTTAATGCATTTTCTTGCTAAATGCATAGCTTTTTTATTTATTTTTTGTTTGATTAAGTTTTTTATACTGAAAATTAGGTAGATAAAATGAAAGTAACAACTATCCATGGTGTTGTTGCTAGTTCTACTTGTTGTCATTCAGGTTTTTAACTGCATGGATAAAAATCTACATACTGTATAATTTTAAAAACATTTTCATCATTATTGAGCAGTTTGACCTATTTTCAAACTTGCACCATATACTTTGTTAAAATCTTTTTCTAAATAGTTGCAAAATATATCTTGTATTTGTTTTGCATAGTTTTAGAACTCCCATTAGATTTGCTTCTTATTAATGGTAAATTTAAAATAATATAGCCACTTGGCCATTTTTCCACAATACTCTGTTTTCCTGATATTGTGTAAATCTTTAAGCACAAATAGATGAATTAACAGAGTTTACAGAAAATATTTTTTTTAAAAAAAACAAATCTCTTTTCCTGATTTATTTTGAGAGATTTGCTAACATATTACACTGTCACATTGGCTTTTATTTTTATTCAGTTGTAGTAACGAATCAAAGAAAATGCTTTTGGCATAGTGCAATCTAAATTTACCCTTATTTTCACTGTGCATCTTTCTTTTTCCTTCTCTTATTACCTGCAGCAGACTGCTTTGCCAGCAATCTCTGTTCTAGATTTGGTATGTTCTTATTTCTTTCTCTTCGATGCTTTTCCTTAATACTTTTTTCTTTTTCTTTTTAATTAATGATAATCCAATATGCATTGGATATTTGTTTAGCTTTAGAGTGCTTCAGGGCAAGGAATAGTACATTAAATTAGTGGCAAGCAAGAGACACCTACCTAATGCTTTAAGAATGCTCCTAATTTTTTCTCCTACTTTTCTTTTAAAGTTGTATTCTGTTTGCATATTTTAATTGTATATCGCTGTGAACTACCACAGTTAAATGAACCATATTTTAATAATTTAACATATATCATTAGTTTGAAAACATTTTGTGCAGGTGAGTTTCCATTGTTCATTTCCCCATGCTTTTTTTTTTAAAAAAGTCTTCCCTAAATCATATATTTTAGTGTATTTTAGCATTCCAATATATTATTTGTCTTCTTGTCCAAGCTTTTGATAATTTGGCATTTAGTTTTAATGATTTGGGTTTTGGAATACAACTTTAGGGTTAAACCTTTGACCTTAGAGGATTTAAAATATTTTTACAAAAAAATATTTCACATTCATTGCTGTTAACTATATTGATAGTAGAACTGTATGTTACACTAAAAGCATCAAAATATATATGAATAGTTTTATAATAATTTCATTACATGTTTTATCTATTATTTTATTAACTGAAAACAAAATAAGATGTATTGTACTGATCAGTTTTATTACCGGTAATCTATTATGACAAAGGTATTAAAGGAATCAGATCTGGTTAAATCACTCAGTGCAATATTCAGCTTCCCTTCCTTAAAACTAATAATTTTGAGTATTAAACTGCAAACCATAGACATTACAATTCAATGAAGTAAAGAGTTCTCAGTATCTAGTTCGTCCTTACTGAATTAAATATATTTAAAAGTGCAGTTGGATTATGACACAAGAAACCTATCAAATGGAATGATATTTAAAGATTTTACCTCCTTCCCTTTTATAAAAAATAGCAATTTAGGTTTTCCCCCCTTTAAAATAACACCACTTGGTGCAATGCTTGGAATTACAGTATAATTTAAGCTGTTTTAAAAAGTGTGGGACAGAGTCCAGTAGTTCTCCTTTATTCTTTTGTAATACTTCTTCTAACAGGTGTTTAAAGGAGATGATAGTCATTTTTCTGAAACTGTTTAATTTCCAAAAGATGTTTGATAATCTAAGATTATTTGAACAGCTATGATTAAATATTTGCACTTTGAGGCATGGATTTTCATTACTTTTCCTACGTTATAGAGATTCCAAATGCTCCTTTGCAGTAAAAAAATATTAATATATGAAAAAAAACCCACAGGCAGCTTAAATAGCTGATATATTGGGTTTACTGTCAAGATCAGAGGAATGTTATTTAGTGGGAAAAGAATAGAAGCTTAGCATCGACTATAGTTTGCACGTTTTCCCAGGAGAACAATTGTAAAACATACAGTTTTGACTATAAAAGCAATGTCCCAGAACAGAAATACCTACAAAATCTATAGCATGGGTATCCAGCCTTTTGGCTTGCCTGGGCTATATTGAGTGAAGAGCAACTGTCTTGGCTGCATATAAAATATATAATACAGTTAATGTATATAAATCACATAAGGTTAAAATTTACAATCTTGTTGGGCCACATTATTAGCTGTTCAGGTCCACGTGCAGCCCCTGTGCCACAGGTTGGACACTCCTGACAAAATACATTTCCTTTTTGAATTTCCTTTATAATTTTTTTTTCCAAAATGAAAAAAAAAATTCCAAAGAGAAAATAATAATTATTATTTTTTTTTAAAAAAAAGTTCCTTTTCAACAGCAATGGAGATTTTTCTTCATGAAATATTATTTCTGTCTTCAAGAGGATCTGAGGTAAAACACAAGATATAAATCTTCCTTAGTTGCAGGATGAGGAGCGCAGACGGCAGCAGCAGCTGGAGGAAATGCGCAAACGGGAAGCGGAAGACAGGGCCAGGCAAGAAGAAGAGCGTCGTCGCCAAGAGGAGGAGCGGACAAAGCGAGAGGCTGAGCAAAAGGTTTTACTTAAGTCTTCTGTAACTTTGTATACTTCACTTCAATTGGTTTGGCCCGCTGGTGTTAGCTGTAATATCACAACGTTATTAAGTCTTCAACAAAGCTAGGGACAGAATTGTAAGCAGTGGCTTTTAACATGTACTGTGTTGAATTCTGTACGCTGTTCGAAATACAAAGCCAAGCTATCCTGTTTGTAAGATTTGCAATTTAAGAAAAAGCAAAAAAAAAATAATAATCATTATTCTTCAAGAGCCTTTGGGAAGCAGGCGGTATATAAACTAGTAAATAAAATCCAAATAAAATGAAAGATTATATGAAGCTGGAAGAGTACAAGAAAAAATGTAAGGACCTGAGATATTAAGCATAATGAAAGAAAATCAAAATGAAATCAATTCCAGGAAGTAAGTCTAAAGGGATAAAATTATTTTTTAAAGCAATAAGAATAAAGTTACAAGTTATGAAATCCTATTTTTTAAAAAAAGGTAGAAAGAAAAGCTGTCAGATTTAAAACAATGAAAAACTTAATTCAGAAGAAACCACAATCAGCTACTAGACAATGGCACTAAATGTGTTTAAATAAGTGGGATTCATTAAACAAACCAAAGGGAATGGATAGACAGTGGTATGATAATGAGACATTTTTGTTGGTAGGAAAAAGTTTAAACATGGAGGACTCCCAAGAAAAATATTAGCATATAATATTAATTATAGTTTAGGAAACCGGTCACCAGTACTCCTTCATCTTCCCACCACCACCATTGTTAATTTTCCATGTCACTCATATTTGATACTGTGTGATACCATTCTAATGATTGAAATCTTACCCATTTTTTCCAAATGATAAATATTTGAAAAGAAAATGAAAGCTTAATATTAATGAATGAAACTATGGTTAGGCAACATACTGAATTTCACTATCCTCCAGACATTGTGCCAGTATTCTGTTAATTTAAAGAAAAGTGAGGAAGTGACATTGTTTGAAAATAAAAATGGAGGTGCTTGAATCCCAGTGTTTTGTATGGAAGTAGACCACTGGCTACCAAGAAAGGCAAAGGTAAGCAGGGCTGGGAATTTTTTTTCCCCTTAAAGGTAGTGATGGAGAGCAACTTCATCATTCTGGTAAATAAACATCCTATGTCTAGTCACGGGCACCATAGCTTCCATTTTTCAGAGTGGTCATTATCTTAAATATGCTTTATGGCTTAAAAATGCCTAGCCCTCTTTTAAGAAAAAAAAATGGATATAAATCAAGATATTATTTAGGAACCAGGAATGCTCCTTCAGTGGTGTCTGTCTTTGTGCATAAACTCCTATATTCTGTTTAAGGAAAGCAAAACATCATCAACAAAAAGACTCTCATTATCTCTGCTCTGCATGTTTGGTAAAGTTACATGTAAAGCTGACCTAAGGCTGACTACATTCTTCCTCAGTGCAACCCTTTCTGCTTTGTATTTATAATGCCGAGCAGGGAGATGGATGTACATTCATGTAATTTCAGACATTAAACTGTAATTGAGAGTTTAAAGCATCCTGGCACTCAGTACAAGAAGGTTTATGAAGTTGTTGGTATTGGATATCCCTTGTTTTAATGGCAGCATATTTCAGTTGCAAGGTAGACTTTCACATTTCGTTCTTTCTTTTCACTCTCTTCTTTCTTGATATTCCTTGAAATTTTAATAAGTTATGGCAAGTTTACTTTTCTCAGTGTAAATATGTATCTTATCACCAAATAGAATCCAAAGGTGATTCTGTGCTTTTCTTGATGTTCTCTTTCAACCCTGAATCCTCAGTTCAACCTGAGCTAGAAATATTCTCTTCTAAAAATGGTTCTGCTGACATCAAAAGCAGGAAGGATTCTGCTTTATTTCTTCTATTCTGTCCCACTCCTGCTCTCAAAATCTGCCTCATAGGTTCTCCTGCCTCTTAAGAGGCAGATGGAGAGAGTGGATTTCACCCAAAGTTCAGAAGTAAACCAGTGTTTTAGAGCAGGAAATGTGACTTTCTTCCTTGATAAAAGAAAAAACTTATCCAAATTTTTTTTAGTGAAAATTTCCATGCATGCGTTTGGTATTTGTCATTTGTTGATACCCTTTTATTCCCTTTGGCTCAACAGAGGCGACAGGAAGAAGAATATTATAATCGCTTGGAAGCAGAGAGGCGCCGCCAGCATGATGAAGCAGAACGGCGATTGCTGGAACCTGATGAGCCTGGTCTGTACAGACCTCCGCTTCCACGGGAATATGAATTCCCCTCCCCACCCCTTTCATCTAATGCTCCTCCTCCCCCACCTCAACGAAACACTTCTTACCTCAAAACTCAGGTCCTCTCTCCTGACACAATTTATACTGCCAAGTTTGTTGCATACAATGATGAGGAGGAGGAGGACTCCTGTCTAGCAACAGGTCAGGATAAGTACACCAGTACAAGAAAGTCTTGCGGTGACATTCCTCCTGTTCCCCCTAAGCCACAGCAGCCCTCCCGCCAGCCACGCCCAGCCTCAGATGGCCTCTGTCTGTCCAACTCATGCCAACCCTCCGCTGTCAATACCAACAGTACTGCTAACAAAATGAGCCAACCCCCTCCCCCACCACAAAAGCCAAGTTTCATCAATCCCAGCAACACAAAAGGTAGACGGAATATTTTAATTTACAATCTCTCTGAAACTCTCTACAAATTTCCCACTAAAGTACTCTTCTGAACAAAATCACTCTCATGATTCTTTCTTACTTGATCGCAATCTTGGGCATGGTGATCCAACTCTCAATCTGATTTGTGGCTATAAATTTTATTTTAAATCGGTGTCCTTTCCATTTCTTTATCAAATTCTATGATTCTTACTTTCATACAATGAAAGCAAATGATTTTCAAAATTCCACTAAAAGTACTGTTGGGTTTGGCTTTTGATCTACACCTCTTTCATTCACCACTTATTTTTATTATTATTATTATTCATTGGTCCATGGTGCTTTCACATTTCTGAGGTACATGTTTCTTGCGATAAGGATACTTTATTCACTGTGGGAAGCAGTGGGCTTTCTGCTTATTACTTGCCATGTAAACAGTGTGCAAAAGGCTTTGAAAGTATATAAACCAACAATTACATTTGAAGTGAAACACTACCTGGGTGTATGTTTTAGAAAAAACAAACAAAGTAGATAGGCATATTTTTATGAGGTTTCTACTATACATTGCTCCGTACTGAAGTAACTTTCCATTATTCATGTTGTTTTGCTTTATCCTATTTACATCCCTCACTTTCCTCTTTCCCCTTCATTGCAAAATATGTAACTCAATAATATTGGCCACAAGTAGAATTCTAATTTCAAAGAATTACAAAGCTTTAGGTCGTAACTGGTTTATGCTTTGACAAGACACAAGTAAAAGTCAGATTATTGGAAGAAGGTGGAGCATTAGTGAGTTTTGGGAAGCTTGCAAGCTATTTTGCAGCTGCAGCTGCTTACTATATTTTCCTGTATAGAAGCAGACACTTAAGCAAAAAAAAGATAGTAAAGGAATCATGGAAATCTAAAGTGAACTATTGCTCTTTCTGTAGTAAAAGAAAGCAAATAATGCTGCTGTTATTATAGTTAAAATGAGAAACTTCAGAATTAACATTCACTTCCTAAATGTAATGCTTCCCCAGGCAACCACAAGAGAACCCTGGCAATAGATAAATTTTGCCAATCCTTATTTCATATTTTGGAAATGCTATAAAATAGATATGTTTATAAACCAGTGTAATATGATAGCATCACTGGTAAATAAACCCACAACTGAATGACTGCACCCAGAAGTGCTTATTAATTGCTCCACTTCTGCTTGGAAGTATTTGCATAGCAGACTCTATCCTGGGCCCCGTCATGGTCAGTATTTTCAATAGGGACTTGGATGAAGTTGCTGAGGGGAGTCTTAAGAAAAATTTGATGACACAAAGCGATGAGAAGTAGCTAATACTTTAGATATAAGTGAGAACATTAAAAAAAAAGTCTAAAAAAGATTGAGCATTTTGATGAAATGAATAGATGGAATTTAACAGAAATTTAAAAATTCCCATTTTAGTAGGAAAAATGCAAGGCGTATTTGTACAAACTGTTAGCTAGTGGAACAGGCTATTATCTGAAGACCTTTGCCAGAGGTCTTCAACTAGAAACTAAATGGTTATCTGACATATCTTGCACTGGGCAGAGGGCTTTACTAGATTATCCCCAAAGTCCCTTCCAACTATGATTCTGTGCTTCTGTACCTAATAATTCTTGTTAATATATATATAAACAAGCTAAGGGTTGTTACTAAAAAATGCCATATAATTTGATGTTTCATCTTACCTCAATATAGGATTATGCATCCTATAACTATTTAAATATTTTTAAGTGTATAAAACAAGTCATGTATTCCATTTGAACTTTCAATCTTCTGTGAAGGATGTCTGCCTAAAGTAAAAAGCTCTTTGCACATCATGCGAAAACACTACACAGTTTCTCTCTTCATCTCATTTACACTCATATTGCTGTCCTTAAATGAATGTATGGCAAACTGTGCTTCTGCAAAATTAAACTTTCCCAGCTCCTTCTATTAGATTGTTGGCATTACTTTAGAAGACTGGTACTTCTCAATCTGGGAATAAAATGTGAGCAACTATAACTAATACTAATGTGGATGAGCTTCTATATTTAGATAAAACTTTTCAACCTAAAAAAGACAATTAAACTTAAAATTGGGCATGAAGCAAAATTAATTTCTAACCATCATAATATTAGTAGTTTCTTTAGAAGTTTACCTGACTAAAATCAGTTTCATACTTAATTCACTAAATTCATAATCTCACTAAAATCAGTTGGGATTTCTTAGAAGTTCCCATGCATTGAGTTCTCTTTAATTAATTGTTGGGCACCAGTCTGATATTAAACACAGCTTTATACTGCTGAAATGTATAAAATATTTAAGTTCAATAACTAAATAAGAACTACTAATAGAAGGAGTATATATATATATATATTTGCTTTTGTGTTGAACAAGGCTTACAAGATAAACACATGCAGTATTTAAAAACTAAAAAAAACTACTTGAAAATTCAAATGTTTTGTGGAGATGGTTTTATTTAACCAGTACAAATAGCAGAAGGGAGAATCTATGAAATGTGGGGGATGGGTTGATATTTCAAATACAAATGATGTGTTTAATCTTGTGGCCTTTAGGGAAGATTCATCGGTAGTGTAAGGGGTTTGCTGTTTTTGCTGTTGTGTTTGTTCATATGAAAGCAAAGTAAAGGTGCAGTGCTGCAAAATGTATACAAAATAGAAATTTTAAAAATATCATTTCTAAATAGGCATTGTAAAGTTACTGATTCATTGTGGACAGCTGCAGTTAAAAGAATATATTGGAAAGTTGTCATAAGGCTATATTCTCAAATTCTGTATATTCTTAATATCTTATAATCTAGTCTTTGGTAGATATATAGGCAATAATTCCTGGTGTTACTGGATATGTTTTCATTTAGTCTTCTTATAAACAGGAAGGCTAAAGCTTATTTTACAATTCTTCATGCAAACTGCTTAAACTTCACTTAAACCACTAGAATTTTGGCAATCTGTATTCTGCAAGATTTGGCAAGTTTGGAAATTTATTTCATATATATTTGATTTCATTTATATTGTCCATGATGAAAAGTTGTCATATGATAGAAATATTTGCCATTGTATTCAGTTTTTAATAACATTTTTTCCTTTCTTATAAGGAAGCTGGTAGTGTTAGGAGACTAGACCTGAAAGTATAGAGTAAGATCCATTTAAAGCACTGCACCTTTTGGGGAAAAAAAATAGTTATTGTTATTTTATTTTATTTTTACAAAGGCTCAAACTACACTGGATCTACTGGAGCACTTGCAGGTTCACAGGAACCTTATTCAGACCCAAGAGAAAAGAAATTGAAAAGGTAAAATGGAAATAAATTTGTTTTTAAATGCTGATTTACTGGTGTAAGCTATTACACATACTCCTGGTTGATATTTAGGTAATTTAAGGTTTTTAAAGATCTAAAATATTTTTAAACATAGCAATGCATCCAATAAGAACATTTAGAAAAGATTGAAAGATTTTAGAGTAATGATAGCACTTATAAGTGTCAGTATGGTGTACTGGGTAAAGTATTGAACTGGGAGCAGGACACCAACTTTTAATTCATCTTTAACTTTAGAAGTTTTTCTGGGTAACGTTGGGTCAGTCATTCTCTCTCAGTGCAGCTTAAATCATAAAAGAGAAGTTGTGAGAGGAAAAACAGGTCTTGTACTGTGCTTGCATGTAAGTGCACACCAAACAAGAAGCTAAATGTCATATTAAAGTCAGTACTGTGTTTCCCGAAAATAAACCTTACCCCGAAAATAAACCCTAATTTGATTTTTACATGTGTGCCCAATATAAGCCCTACCCCCAAAATAAACCCTACTTAAGATCCCGCCCACTCCACTGCACCTGGTTGCATGAGATGGGGCAAGGTGCATGGGTAAAAATCAAGCTAGGGCGGGAATGGGGGGATGGAGCTGCCCCATGTGCCCCCCACTCACTTACCTTAGGACAGTTACAGCTAGGCCTCCCATGCTCCGACACCTGCCTCTCTGGCCCACTTCTGCGGCCACCCGCCACTGCTTGCACACATAGTCCCCGGCCTCCGTTTCACTGTCAGAGGCCTTCAGGAAAGGCCTCTGCAGCCAAGAAACAAGCTCCAGATTGACATGCACTGCGCCCTCCCCCTCCGGCCTCCATTTCACTGCCTTGACGAAAAGGCTTTGGAAAGACCTCTGACAGTGAAACGGAGGCTGGGGGAGGCGCCACATGCATCAATCCAGAGCTCATTTCTCAACTGCAGAGGCCTTTGCTGAAGGCCTCTGCCAGCAAAACAAGCCAAGGGCGACTCGCGCAAAGGCAGTGAGCAGCCGCAGAAGTAGGCTGGTGAGGCGAGGCAGGTGTCCAAGTGTGGGAGGTCTGGCTGAGGCAGTCCTAAGGTAAGCGGGTAAGACATTCCCCCTAAATAAGACCTGGTTTCTTCTTTTGGAGGCAAAAAAAAAAAAATAAGACCGGGTCTTATTTTCGGGGAACATGGTATATGTAATCTTGACATGTAGTTTATATATAGAAATCCAGAAACAGGGTATTGGAGTCATCTCAAATGTGAACCCACCCTATATAAAATATTTTAGATTTCCTAATAGCTACACCAGTGTTTAACAAATGTCTAATAGCATGAACAATTTAGTGATGAAAAATGGTTGTCTAATACTACTGTTTATTCAGTAATTAATCTAGCTGATTTTTAAAAAAGGATGTGAATGTTGCAGACCAAGCTTAATTAGAAAAGCAGAGTAGCTGCACTTAAAATATAATGTATTTTTATAACATTGAATATTTTTTATATTTATTGCAGTCAAGATACAGATTTACCTGGTGCACCAGAGAACTTGACTTTCCGAGAACGACAAAGACTTTTTTCCCAGGGTCAAGATGTGTCTAACAAAGTAAAAGCTTCCAGGAAATTAACCGAATTGGAAAATGAATTAAATACAAAGTAGGATACTGTAACTGTCAACTTGTCCATTAATCGGAAAATCTCTATGGAACTAGAGTTGGGGCAGTTCAAGGAGAAGAAGACTCTCATACCAAATGAGATTTTTTTTTCTGTCTGGACTATTTCTTTCTAGACTGTATGTTGTTGCAATAGCAAGAAAATCAATTATTTGCCAAGTGCTTGTGGTTTATACAATTGAGGCACTGTAAAATATATTTTAATTAAATAAATCAAGTGTCATGTCCTTTTCCACATCATTGTCCTTTAGCTGCTTTTGGAACTGTCTGGAATTGTTGCTTCCTAGTCTTTACAAAACATGTAAACATCTGTTAAGCAGAAAGAGTGGCTGTAGCTTGAACTGCCTAAGTACCACTGCTTGTTGCACTGTAGGTTTGATACAAGTGTAAGGTAATGTAAATTTTTAAGAGATCTTGGGAGCTAGTCTTTCAGATTACTAGCATAACAGTGAACACTAGTATTAGGAGTCCAATTTCTACAGATAAACCTTTGCTATAAACACACTTGATTATTAGAAGTAAAAGGGCTCCATTATCATGTCCATACTAAGCCACACGGAGTAATCTATGTACATCTGGATTTTGGACATTAAATACTTGACTTGTTTTGATGGCAGCCCAGCAATGTAACAAGATATGCATCCTATTTTTTCCACTGTCTTATCTCTTCTTACACTGAAGTATTAATCACTTCTAAAACTTGAGTTTTGAAACATTGATAAGAATTTAAAAAATAAATCATATTGGACACTGGGTATGGTGGTGTGTGCGCGTGTGCGTGTGTATGTCTTGTTTTAAAGCTATTTTGAAATTTCACACTTTAGCAATATGGAATAAACTTCATCTGGTAACTCCTTTGTAGCCAAGATAAAACCAAAGTTAAATATTCACAAATGGACTAAAGATGTCAATTATCAGTAGCAGGCAATTAAGCACTACTCGCAGGGAAAATACGGTTACTTGTGGCTGCAAAAGGAAAAAAAAATTGCCTTTCAGTAAGAATTTCCTTTGAGGGAACTTGGCAATATTCTGATGGCATGTCCTCAGACATTCGTGTAGAAAAGTGCTGGTCAAGGTACCTCTAGTTTGCTATTGTTCTTTTTCTTTATATTGTAGAAGATGTTGGCAGTTCAAGCTATTTTACACACTATGTTGCAGGATTATTTAATTTTTAAATGGTTGAAATCTGTTTCACCCACTGATGTTTCAGCTATGTGTATATAGCTGACGTTAAGAATAAAGACCTCATCTTAGTTTGTTTTTGCATTGTGTGATGTTTAAAACAATATATTATATTGTGATTCTAAGCAAATTTTCTATTTGATAAAAGTCCTTAATTGGGTTTTAGATGATTTTTCTGTATAATATGTTCTCTTATAAATATATATTTAGGGAATTATGCACATTTCCAAATGCAGAGGGTAGACTTTACTGCCTTAGAAATCACTTTTAATAAGAGTTGTATGATAAAAAAATAAATGCAAGTTAATGATAAAATTGGAGTGTAAATATTTTTTTTACATAGTTCAGGTTTCTTATTTGAAAGTGTTCTTTTAATTTTCACCTGTTAAATATGAAGTAGGAGATTAAATTGGTTGAAAGTGTTAATGAAGGATTGCATGCTTGTTATGTCTGTTATTCAGGGAAAAAAGGAGGTGCCCCCCCAATTTATCTTGAGAACACTAGATATTCTGTGGCTGGAATACTGTTGCTGCTAGAATTTAAGGAAAGAAATATTACTTACTGTGGAGTGGATGTGAACACTATTGGGCAGGGGTGGGCAACTATGGTGACTTTACGACCTGTGGACTTCAACTCCCAGAATTCCTAAGCCAACATGGCTGGCTCAGGAATTCTGGGAGTTGAAGTCCACAGGTCGTAAAGTCGCCATAGTTGCCCACCCCTGCTTATTGGGCATTCAAGCCATGTGAATATAAATAAAAATGCTTTTCATAACTATTGGTGCATTATGGAGAAAACAACATAAGAACTGCTGTGGTTTCCCATTTCTACTGTATTTCACTTGCAACCTATTTTTAATAAACTTTGTATTGTATTTAACTTTGCACTGTATAATGTCTGATCAGGAGTATTTGTTCATATTATTCAGACATATTTTCTGTTGCAATATTTAACACTTGCTAGGAATTATAACCTGGGAAAATTCAAGCTATTGATTATTCTACGGATCATTAAAATGACATTGATCTATTTTTGTAGCTAAAGATTTTGTGAAATATTTGATTTCCAATGCACAGTCTTTATTAGAACTTCAGAGTTTCCTTATCTACATCATCTTCCGTCTAGACACAAAATATGCCCAAGTATTAAAAAAGTAAATCACAATAAAGCCTTATTAAAGTTAAATTACAACTAACAATTGATTTAAAGATCTGTAAGGCAATCCAAAGTACATACTTCACATGTAGTATTCTATATAATGTACTGAACTTGAACAACTAAAGATGTTTCATTTGTTCAAATATGGCTATTTTATAGCATTTAATAGCTATTGGCAATAAATTAAAATTAAAAATCAATAAGCCAATACTTATATTTAAAAATCAGCAATATAACATATGACTGCATATTTTAAATCATGCTTAATTTCTGGGAAGGTGGAAAAAAGCTTCACTTTCCAGAATGTGTGTCCGAATGCTTTCGCAGGATAGCTCTCCTTACAGTAATGAATATCGGATGCATAACTTACTGCTCTATCAAACTGAATTTTATAGCTCTGGCATTCATGCCCAGTGCATTTCTTCAGCATAGGAAAATAGTCTTATGTATCTGCTCCTGCTTCTTAAAAGGGATTTTCAGTTTTCATGCTTTTGACTGTACTCACTTGTGGTAAGACAGAAAATTAAGATAAAATAATGTAAAAAAGAACAGTTGGAAGCAGAAAAGAAACGGAGTTGTGTTTCTAATATACTTCATTTAGGACATTTAGTTTAATAAAGGTAATGAATATCAATGTTTCTTAATTTCTTAAATTAGTAAACAATGCTATTGTAGATAGGCTACATACTTTCCTACATATTGTAAAACAGGCATGTCAAACTTGTGATGTCACATGTCGCACAACGTATCACGACTTTTTCCCCATTGCTGCAATGAGCTAGGTGTGGTTTCGACATGATGCATCCGGCCCATGGGCTGGCAGTTTGAAATGTTCATAATTTTACATCTGTTTTTAAAAGTTCAGAACTTTGTCTAGCCATTGTTTCTAGCTTCAAATTCAATGTTTGTTTTAGAATTACATTTCTGATAGTGATTACTACTTGCTTCTTTACTACAACCAATGTCTCCATGAAATACAAAGAGTTACCACTTTATTTTATATACACAATACAAAGCTGCACTCCTTACTAAAGTCGTAACAAACAGCAGGTGCCAAATAATGCCTTTTCATTAAATTTCCCAACTAGATTAATTTTACGGTGTATATATGCATGTTTGGCTGATCTGTGTTCACAGTCATAAGAAGAATAGTCTTAAAAGTTGCTTGACCTTTTAGTGATTTGCTTATAAGGAACAACAAATCACATATTTTTATTGTTATAAAGTCCTTTGTGATATTACAGAAATTATAAAGAAGTATTTCCCAAGTCAGCCATCTGAGAAGATGATACTTTTTTGGTAACAAAATGCTTGAAATAATCAGATTCTTCAGGCATGTGAAAATCTTTTAAGAGCAGCTTTGGCCCTCAAAAAAATTGCCGGCAAATAATTTTTATGTAACCAAAGCAGAAAATTATTAAACATACAGAGCTTACAGTGTGTGTGCATGTATGTGGGTGTATGTATGAGTAACTGCATGATATTAAATTAGATGTTAAATATGGAGTTTGTTCTGGCTTCATTTGTTTGGGGAAGATTATCCTCAAAAGTGCAGCCCTTAATGCAAAAACATTTGTGTATCCCACCTGTAGAGTTTGTTTGTTTATTCATGTCAGAAGCATCACAATTAAAAAAGCATACTATACGACATAAAATTTAAAATAACTTAACACCTGTAGATTATTAACACATTTAATTGCAATTTAATGCTATTTCCCATTTGAAAATTGTGGAATTTAACAGCATGTATACACATAGATTCATGTCCCAAGGAATTATTCAGATCTAACCAAACGTCTCCTCAGGAGCCTGTCACCATAATTGCGAATCCTAAGTAAGTTTGCAGCATGAACGATGCATTTGATCTCTTTCTCCAGTGACAACAGCAGATCCATAAGCAGCAGATCCATTATGCCCTGAAGGGAGACCTTGTGTTTCATAGTAGGAGTTTCCAATCTTTTTCAGCTAGCAGGCATACTTAGAATTTTAAGACGATATAGGGATATTGGGAAACTTGGAGGAGCACATATAAATGATCACTTCTGTACAGATAATTTCAATAATATCAAGAATGCATTCTTGTCTTGTACCATGTTTGTGAGTTTGAAAAAGTACCTGCTTATGATGCAAATCAGAAATACAGCATTTGCTGTTGGAATGTGTTCATTCTATTGCATCGCCTGCAAGATGGATAACCGCCACTATGGATATGTATATTAGTTTCTTGTGCACCTGTCTCAATCTTGTGGCTTTCAGAATCCTGAGAGGGACCACAATGAAAATTTGGGAAAGTGCCAAGATGGAGAAATGAGATGGCTCCAAGATAGCAGTGTTCCAATATCTCAGGGGCTGCCACAAAGAAGAGAGAGTCAAGCTATTTTCCAAAGCGCCTGAAGGCAGGACAAGGAGCAATGGGTGGAAGCTAATCAAGGAGAGAAGCAACCTAGAACTAAGGAGAAACTTCCTGACAGTTAGAACAATTAACCAGTGGAACAACCTGCCTCCAGAAGCGGTGAATGCTCCAACACTGGAAGTTTTTAAGAAGAGACTGGACAGCCATTTGTCCGAAATTGTATAGGGTTTCCTGCCTGAGCAGGGGGTTGGACTAGATGACCTCCAAGGTCCCTTCCAACTTTATCATTATTATTATTATTATTATTAAAGACAAGAACTGTAGCATATTTAGAAATAGATCTTAAAACTGCATCCTATTTTGCTCTGTTGTGCCAGCTTGAAGGGGAGGTTAACCTCAAAACCAAGCAATTTTGCCTTATTCTCCAGCGCCCTACTTCTGGGGAAATGGACGGGGCACAGTTGATTCTTAGATTAAAAAATTGTTTTCCTCCAGGGGAAAAAAAAGACGTAAACCTAGATCTGCAGTTTATTTCTAGGAGAGTAGTTGGTCGCATCGAATAAAAACTGAAGTGCTGCTAGGGAACCTCGTCCTGCAGCCTGCTGCAGATAAATAGTGTGGGAATGCTGTTTTTCTTCCTTTTAATATTATCAAGTTCTTGCAACAGCAGCGAGGCTCCTTCTGTTTCCTAATTCACGATAGCCGGAGAAACAAAAGAAAAAAGGCCAGGGAATACTGGGGTACATGAGGCCTGATTTGTTTCGTATCTCTGGCCTGTTTTCTCACAGCAATTTCTCCTTTAGGCACGGGGAAAACAAGCCTCATATGGAAATGTTCATTATTGACTTGAAAGCGACTACGTGCATCCTAAGGCCCTTGGAAGGATTTATTCAAGGCTGGGGCTACCCCACCGATTCTTCCTAGCAAAAAGCCTCCCGATCACCAGCGCTCCCAAAAAGGAGCGCGCCAGGCTTTGCAAGCGATCTCTTTCGAAGATCCGTGTGTGCCGGCTCGCTCCTCTGCCTAAAGCAGTGTTTCTCAACCTTGACAATTTTAAGGCATGTGGACTTCAACTCCCAGAATTCCACAGCCAGCAATGCTGGCTGTGGAATTCTGGGAGTTGAAGTCCACATGCCTTAAAATTGTCAAGGTTGAGAAACACTGGCCTAAAGCCCGGTGGGTACCTATAGCAACCCCCGAGAAGCTTAGTCTTGGCTTGTGATTGGATGATTCAAACGGCTTTCCTTGAAAGTGGAAGAAGGAACGGGGAGGTGCTCCCTCGGCTTCGACTATCTGGGATGGTCTGGCTCCGAACGAGGAAGCCCGGCAGCGGGGTTAGCCCTAGTTTTGTGTCGGAGCAACAGATTCGGCAGCTGCAACGGAAGCTGCGAGTGAGTGTTGAGTTGGCATAAATTAGTGTCATCATGCAGCAAATCTACCCATCTAGGTAGTCGCAAAAAATCCACACCAATTTGATGACCCACAATCCCTCCATCAATGGTTAGCTGCCAAAGGGGATCCTCTAAGCCTGGGGAGGAGGTAGTGGGACACAACGTGTCTTTAGGTATTTGAGGGAGGGAGTTAAACTTAGGAAAGCTGGGATCTTTTGATGATCTCAGTTTCCAGATTTCCTCCACTGGTATCCTTCAGTTGCATTGCCTTACAGGAACTATGAATTATTAACATCTCTTCATGCAATATTTCTTTATTTTTTACAGGTTTTTTTAATTTAAATAGTGAGGATAATGATTGTTTTAATATTTATTAACTACCTGTTTTTAGCTTTGTTGTGCACTGCCTAGAGTCACCTGCCATGAGATGGCAGTTATATAAATTTGATAAATTTGCATGGGCAAATACTAATAGGGGACTGTAGAGCCAACACATTTAAAAGGCCTTGAACTCAAAAAATGAATGGTGGATGTTACTAGTCTCCTGGAGTTGCAAACACTCCACTCAGTGGCGGGATTCAAATATGTGAACAGCTGGTTCTCTGTGTGGATGCCGCTTCTGGAAGTCCATTCTGGGCCTGGGCAACAAAAAAATTAGCTACCAGTTCTGCTGAAGTGG